AGAGATAAGTGTAAGAGAGGGTGGGGGTGGGTAGAGATCAGTGTAAGTGAGGGTGGGGGTTGGTAGAGATCAGTGTAAGTGAGGGTGGGGATGGGTAAAGATCAGTGTAAGTGATGGTGGGGTGGGTAGAGATCAGTGTAAGTGAGGGTGGGGGTGGATAGAGTTCAGCCCTTGCTTGACTAATATATAGATTCTCATCTGCACCACAGGCTGATAATTACATCCAAGTTTCATCAGCATCTGACAGGGGCTTTCTACAGAGGAGTCCAAACTGCCTGTACATGGATGATGCATGATAAAAGATAAATAACAACTGATGACAGTCAGTCACAATAGGTCACCTGAATGACTCAAGTGACCTAAAAGCTCAAGTCCTGTTTTTCTTGTCTGAATATTTTTTTTCCTTCTAACAACTTGGTAACATTTGTTTCGTTTTAATCATGGCTTAAATAGCTCAATATATCCTTAACTTTGAACAATCTTTTATTCTGTCACTCTATTTTCCCTTTTCAACAAAAGTGGTATTTTCTTAAGTCCTCTTTGTTTAAGTACATGTTTCTATAAGAGAAAAACAGGTGACATAGTCATTGGAAGGTTGCGATTATTAAACACAGTTGATAGTTATAGATGGTAGTTACAAACAGGTTATGGTTATAGACAGATGTTATTTATAGATGGTGGTTATAGACAGGTTATTGACATAGACAGATGGTAGTTATAGATGGTAGTTACAGACAGGTTATGTTTAAAGACAGCTGGTAGTTAAAGATGGTAATTACAGACGGATTATTGTTATAGACAGCTGGTAGTTAAAGATGGTAATTACAGACGGATTATTGTTATAGACATAAAAAAAAAAATGGTATTTACAGACAGGTTATGGTTATAGAAAGATGGTAGTTATAGATGGTAGTTACAGACAGGTTATGGTTATAAAAAAATTGTAGTTATAGATGGAAGTTACCGACAGGTTGTGGTTATAGATGGTAGTTATAGACAGGTTATGGTTATAGACAGATGGTAGTTATAGATGGAAGTTACAGACAGATTATTGTTATAGACAGTTGGTAGTTATAGACAGTTGATAGTTGTAGATGGTAGTTACAGAAAGGTTATGGTTATAGACAGATGGTAGTTCTAGACAGTCGGTAGTTATAGACAGTCGGTAGTTAAAGATGGTAGTTACAGACAGGTTATGGTTACATACAGATGGAAGTTATAGACAGGTTATTGTTATAGACACATGGTAGTTACAGGCAGGTTATGGTTATATACAGTTGGTAGTTTAAGACAGCTGGTAGTTACAGACAGGTTATTGTTATAGACAGATGGTAGTTATTGATGGTAGTTACAGAAAGGTTATGGTTATAGAGAGGCGGTAGTTATAGAGAGTCGGTAGTTATAGATGGTAGTTACAGACAGTTATGGTTACATAAAGATGGAAGTTATAGATAGATGGTAGTTACAGACAGGGTATTGTTATAGACAGTTGGTAGTTGTAGATGGAATTTACAGATAGGTTATGGTTATAGACTGATAGTAGTTAAAGACAGCTGGTAGTTACAGATAGGTTATTGTTATAGACGGATGGTAGTTATTGATGGTAGTTACAGAAAGGTTATGGTTATAGAGAGTCGGTAGTTATAGAGAGTCGGTAGTTATAGATGGTAGTTACAGACAGTTATGGTTACATAAAGATGGAAGTTATAGATAGATGGAAGTTACAGACAGGTTATTGTTATAGACAGTTGGTAGTTGTAGATGGAAGTTACAGATAGGTTATGGTTATAGACTGATGGTAGTTAAAGACAGCTGGTAGTTACAGATAGGTTATTGTTATAGACAGATGGTAGTTATTGATGGTAGTTACAGAAAGGTTATGGTTATAGACAGTCGGTAGTTATAGACAGTCGGTAGTTATAGATGGTAGTTACAGACAGGTTATGGTTACATACAGATGGAAGTTATAGACAGGTTATTGTTATAGACAGATGGTAGTTACAGGCAGATTATTGTTATATACAGTTGGTAGTTATAGACAGATGGTAGTTACAGACAGGTTATGGTTATAGACAGATGGTAGTTTAAGACAGCTGGTAGTTACAGACAGGTTATTGTTATAGACAGATGATAGTTACAGACATGTCATGGTTATAGACAGTTGGTAGTTATAGATGGTAGTTACAGACAGGTTATGGTTACATAAAGATGGAAGTTATAGATAGATGGTAGGTACAGACAGGTTATTGTTATAGACAGATGGTAGTAATAGATGATAGTTACAGAAAGGTTATGGTTACAGACAGATGGTAGTTATAGACAGGTTATGGTTATAGTCAGTTGGTAGTTTAAGACAGCTGGTAGTTACAGACAGGTTATTGTTATAGACAGTTGGTAGTTGTAGATGGAAGTTACAGATAGGTTATGGTTTTAGACTGATGGTAGTTAAAGACAGCTGGTAGTTACAGAACGGTTATGGTTATAGACAGTCGGTAGTTATAGACAGTCGGTAGTTATAGATGGTAGTTACAGACAGGTTATGGTTACATAAAGATGGAAGTTATAGATAGATGGTAGTTACAGGCAGGTTATTGTTATAGACAGTTGGTAGTTGTAGATGGAAGTTACAGATAGGTTATGGTTTTAGACTGATGGTAGTTAAAGACAGCTGGTAGTTACAGATAGGTTATTGTTATAGACAGATGGTAGTAATAGATGAAAGTTACAGAAAGGTTATGGTTACAGACAGATGGTAGTTATAGACAGGTTATGGTTATAGACAGTTGGTAGTTTAAGACAGCTGGTAGTTACAGATAGGTTATTGTTATAGACAGATGGTAGTAATAGATGATAGTTACAGAAAGGTTATGGTTATAGACAGATGGTAGTTATAGACAGTCAGTAGTTATAGACAGTCGGTAGTTATAGATGGTAGTTACAGCCAGGTTATGGTAACATACAGGTGGAAGTTATAGACATAGACAGATGGTAGTTACAGACAGGTTATTGTTATAGACAGATGATAGTTACAGACATGTTATGGTTATAGACAGTTGGTAGTTATAGATGGTAGTTACAGACAGGTTATGTTAATAGACAGTTGGTAGTTATAGACAGGTTATGGTTACATACAGTTGGTAGTTTTAGATGGTAGTTACAGACATATTATGGTTAGTGACAGTTGGTAGTTATAGACAGTTGGTAGTTTTAGATGGTAGTTAAAGACAGTTGGTATTTACAGACAGATTATGGTTATAGACAGTTGGCAGTTATAGATGGTAGTTACAGACAGGTTATAGTTAGTGCTGGTTGGTAGTTATAGATGGTAGTTACAGACAGGTTATGGTTATAGACATATGTTATTTATAGATGGTGGTTATAGACAGGTTATTGTTATAGACAGTGACAGTTATAGATGGTAGTTACAGACAGGTTATGGTTAGTGCCGGTTGGTAGTTATAGATGGTAGTTACAGACAGGTTATGGGTATAGACAGAGGTTATTTATAGATGGTAGTTACAGACAGGTTATGGTTAGTGCCGGTTGGTAGTTATAGATGGTAGTTACAGACAGGTTATGGTTATAGACAGGTTATTGTTATAGACAGATGGTAGTTACAAGCAAATTATGGTTATAGACAGATCGTAGTTACAGACAGGTTATGGGTATAGACAGATGTTATTTATAGATGGTAGTTATAGACAGGTTATGGTTATAGACAGATGGTAGTTACAAGCAGGTTATGGTTATAGACAGATGGTAGTTACAGACAGGTTATGGTTATAGACAGATGGTAGTTACAGACAGGTTATGGTTATAGACAGGTTATTGTTATATACAGATGGTAGTTACAAGCAGGTTATGGTTATAGACAGATGGTAGTTACAGACAGGTTATGGTTATAGACAGGTTATTGTTATAGACAGATGGTTGTTATAGATGGTAGTTACAGATAGGTTATGGTTATAGACAGTGGCAGTTATAGAAGGTAGTTACAGACAGGTTATGGTTAAAGAAAGTTTTTAGTTATAGATGGTAGTTACAGACAGGCTATGGTTATAGACAGATGGTGTAATTTTATACATGTGGTGGTAGTTTTCAAATGGTAGTTATAGACAGCGTGTGTCTAAATTGACAGGTGATAGTTATAGACAGGCAGTAGCTATACATATGCGGTAGTTATAGACAGGTGGTAGTTATAAATATGCGGTATGTAGTAAAAAAGGGAGATTGCCTCTATTATTTCTTACATCTGCTGCTTTGAAAACACAGTTTTCACCCAAAGATTCAGCAACTTGTCTTCCATCTGAATTTGGCAAGTCAACAAGGACAACTCTGGCTCCTTGTTTCGCAAATCTGGTGGCTGTGGCCTTTCCCAGTCCTGATGCAGCCCCTGTCACTACAGTCACAAGACCCTGTAGCAAACACACAAAAAATCTGTTTACACGATTCAATCATGGGGAGTTTTTTTGCAATATTTAACCCCATCCTTTGCTTTTAGTAACACCTAGTTTACAGATCTAGCCTAAATTTTGTGTATATAATACACCCTTCATATTTAAATCAAGCAAATATGCAATTACCCCAGCGTTCCTTTAATTTACATTACCACATTGAATTGCCTAATAAATAATATGGAAATGACGACTGAAAAATATTTTGTATTACATAGGGCGTATACAAAAAACATGATTATTACTTTTCATTGATTGTAACATATTCAAAGAAACTGATTTGAACAAACTTTTCTTTCTTATATTTTGTTCTTGTGTAAATATACCCGATGTAAAAAGGCATGAGTTATATTCCCCTTGAATCCAGAGAACACATTGGCAAATTTCCTTATCCATCAATCATGAATATGTATTCCGAACATTAACATTTATATATATATTGGAATAAATTGTAGAAATGACAAATATTTAATCTGCTTTAAATGAAATGCCAACTTTTTGATACACATTGCCACTGTTCAACGTCACGCATTATGCTACCTTTAAAAGTCAATTTTGTAAGTGGGACCAACCACAGGGGCATGTTACAAATGTCTGATTATGTGGGTTGTGACCCATATCAGTATAGCATATGTGTGTATTTCAGACATTTGTAACGTGCCCCTGTGGACCAACGTTGCAATTGCGCCTGTCTTTAGTTGTGTATGGCTAATATATAGTCTCGTTTGAAGTTTTTCTAGGGTCTCCCTTATCTTTTTTTTTGGATTAAGACTCGATAGATTCTTATGTGGTCAACTAGCTGCGATAAAGTAGCTTTCTGACGACTAGAGATTTTTCATAAATATTGCATTGTCAGGGGCAGAGGAGGCTGGGTATTAATATTAGTACTATAGTGGTCAATCAGATCGGAACACACGACTGTAAAATTTAGCAGCATAAAATGCATTTGACATGACATTTATCATTTGCTCGTAAATATGGACTTCGGTCTAATTCCATGGTGAAACATAGAAAAAGCAAGCTTGTATAATAATAAAAAAACATTTCAACTGATATTCATGATTTTAAGATATATATAGGTTATAGGGCGAAACAACCTTGGGCAAACTAGATTTAGGTCTCGGATCCTCGAATGACAACAACTTCTGCCCAACCAGTCTTTTCCAGCTGGGCTCCTTTTAATTTTTGTGGAACAGTCTGAATATTTCCACTATATAAATTAAAAGGATATAGTTGCCTAAGTAACGTCAAACTCTTGTGTATCTGATTTGGCCAGGCCGCCCCCCGCCGGCCCTGTTATTGTCCTCCTCTCTAAATTCTAATCAGAGATGACACACCTTGTCATCATACTCTGCGGTTAAACGAAACATAGTCGATAACAATTGGCCGATATAATGTGGCAATATAAAATGAAGCTGGCATGAAATAAAGTGATGTTTGTTCTAAAGTGACCTTTAGCTTGCCGGCTGACATGTTCCTCGTGTTGCCGAAGTCTGTTGTATGTACACACCTCCGTGTACACCAATCAAAATCGTTGTTACATACATTTTATCCAATCAATGACAACCTCTTTATAAATGCGAGACAGTGTCATGGAGGTAAATAACAGCATGGGTTGCGAAATCAACAACTGCTTTCTTAAAATTGCTTTTTCTTTTGACAATTTTGAGCCAGACAAACATTATGAACAAATTGAAAGCTTTCTAAAGAAGTTAACAAACAAGTTTAAAGATGCGACATGCAGGTATGTTCCGCTTAATAACGGCATTGTCCGTTTGTCTGTTTATGTGATGTAACTTCGCACGCTGATTTGTACTTTCACTTTCATAATATGAATCGGGTATTTATTACTGAAGGACTTTTGTTACTTGTCTGCCATATTTTTTACACCAGATGCCGTTAATTTTATTACTGACCATTTTAATAACTGAATGCATATAAGCTGACAAGAAGAGATGTATCAATATACACTGTCCAACATGTCGATGCTATTATGAAATAAATCTTCTCTCTTAAAGAAAAAGAAAATTGGCAACAGACCAATGTTTATTGTCAAATAAATTAATCCTTCTGGTTTTTTTATGAACTGAAAGTTTGATCAAGATATTATAGCTATATATAATTATACAGAAAAGGTACAGTTTTGAACGGTGGCAATGTGTACAGGGAGATAACTCGCGAGTTTTATTTTTGATTTGATCTATTTATTTATTTTTAATTTCAAAAGTATTTTATTGACAATACATATATAATACAAACATATAAGTTAACATTAAAGAAGATATTAGAACAGTGTTGACAAAAGCTTATGTCTAATAGTCATTATTTAAGGCACAAAACTTGCCTGAATAATAATAATAATAATAACAATACATGAATATTAATTTGGAACTTATCTACATGTAGCACATATATAAGTAACGAAACGTTTTGATGATTTAATATAAAAGTCAACATGTATCAGAATAGTTTTATTTAATTTGTCAGATGCATTACTAATACCATATAATAAACAGTGCAGATTTAAATATTCTAATAGATTATAAAAAGTGGTAATATGATGCCTAATATATTTGAATACAGAGGACATTGAAAGAAAAAATGTATTAGATCTTCCCTCTGTGCACCACATAAAGCATCATCAATCAGATGGTCTGAATTAATATTTGAGATAAACTCCTGTGACTTCTTCCAACTTTTCAGACAATATGATTCCTAGAAAACATTTTTGAGAATTTAAACAGGTCTTTAATAAAGTCTGCTGATATCCTCGTTCTCAGCTTCCTTTCCGTCCTGGGTTTATTTGCATTTCTTCGTCAAAGTGGTTCTCCTAGGTTATATCCAAGCCGTTTGATGACTTTAGCATTCTTTTGTGCTGTTATGAAGTTCTTTTCAAAACCTTTAACATCTCTTACAGTGTTCAGGTTTCTCTTTAATCCCTGTTCTCCTTTGTTGTTGTATTTGCATTTTGTCATTGTTTGACTTTTTCCTCTCCATAACTTTTTCTTACACTGTACACAACCGATGTCAGAGATTCAACATTTTTGTCATATTTCCATGCATAGTGGTCTCTAAAATAGCTTTCAGGTTTTGGTTGAGATTTTTGCCAAAATGCTTTGCTACAATGTATGCGTCTTGTGCCACAGTACTTTATCCTGACATCCGTCTCTGCTTTAATACTGTGGAAGCTCGTCTTATTCACCACTGCTGCCAATATTGACAATACTGAAATCTTGAAGCTGTTTTGTACTTAATGGTTACTGGAGTAAGTTAATTCTGCATTTAAACTGTCATTGCTGACATTTCCATTCATGCCAATTCTTCCTTGATGACTTTCCAACCCTCTTTCAGATGTCAACAACACCTATCTTTACACAATGGCAATGTGCATTGTGTCTATACACAGTTATATATATATTGTACACCGCTCCCTGTTTGCTAAATTCCACAAATGTTCCCTTCTTGTTTATATTCCCAACCCTTTGGTTTCTCTCTTTACCATTTGTTGTTTTTTCTGGAAGATTGCATTTTCCAACTTCTAAAAATGGGAAAAGTGAACCCGTTTTTTTCAGTGCATGTGCCTCTGAATGTGTCCTTAAACGTAAACATTTTCTCTGCTTTTCCCAACCCATGCTGACCACTACCTCACTGATCCTGACCTGACCTTTAGCCTTGCCGATCTTCCTGATTTTAGGAGTCTGTCTGCGTAACCAGTCTGCTTTTTGAGACATCAAACTCATCAACAACAGATATATAACAGATCTATGCAGTAGTTTAACTGAACTGTTGTAGTGGGCCATCCTCGATGCTCCAGAAGTTATGCTCATTTACACTCTCTGCACTCCTGAAATATGTCATACCAAAATTGAAGGCACACAGCTAGCTGCGTGATTGGCCTCCGGAAAGAAAGACCTGACCAATCACTACACAGATACATGTCCTTGGAAGATTAAAGAGAAGCAACACCCGACATCAAAGCCAGTCAATTTTACCGTTGCGTGACCGCGAGGCTTTTGATGTACATAAAAGGATCAGACTAGTTTTATTGTCTCATTCAAAAAGGTAGTGTACATTGAGCTTTCGATTTTGTCATGACAAACTCTAAGGGTACAGAGAACGTAAGTGAAGCGTAACCCCTGGATGTCCAAGTTAAGTCTTAAGTCTAGCTCAGTGGAACCCCAGACCACTTACTTATATACTATACCAATTCACCATCTTCTTAAAGCCATTAACTGCTGACGTTGGTATTTCTTTAGTAAAAGTAGTCATGCTATTATGTTAATATAAAATTCCTTCCTTTGATTCAAAAAAGATCATATTGTAAACATCAGTCAATAAAGTGTGGTTAGAATATATTGGGAGCTGGGTGTTTGGTGATAGAGATGGAAAAGGATGTGGTCCCTTAAATAAAGAGGTTCTTCCAGTTATTGTGTTCTTTGTTTGAAAATATATACCTAGTTTTTTTTTATATTTACATGGACAGTTGATATATAATCGAGACAGCTATATAGCATTGAAAATGAGTATTATTACCTCTTTTATTTTAGCTCACTGTAGACATAAAGATTAAAGAAAACAAGTTTTCCAGATCATCCCACTAATCTGAACCAACTTTTCTTTGCAGAGAGAAAGTAGTCAAGGCTCATATTGAGACAATAGGAAAAGTTCTTTGCAAATGTAATGAAAACCTGACAAAAGATTATTATGAGGATGTGCCGTCTGAAATAACTGGTTGTATCACCGAGTGTTACCGAACACTACGTAATGCGTGTGCTGGATCTAAGGCAAATCAAGACCTTGTGGTTGAGTGTTTTCCTAGCTGCTTAGACTGTTGTGAAGCCACATTAAAACCCTTTGCTCGATGTTCACCCGAACAAATGCGGTCCCACCCGATGTTGGCTGAAGACAAAGTGATATTGCTCAGGTGCTGTGTACAGTTCCTAGGAAATGTGGTGGCCGGACATACGGAAAACAGCAAGCTAGTTTGGAGACAGTTTTCAAAAAGCTTTAGGTGAGTGACCCAAAGGAGATGTATACATCAGCCATATAATGATCTTCATTGTACGTACTCTATATGCTTTGAAGACAAACAAATTATGTATTGTTTATAAAAATTTGATTAGTGCTCCCAATTTTCAGGAAAAAAACACGTTGATTGAGACATAATTACAACTTCAAGGAAAACCTTATAACGTTTGTGACTGTTCACTGTTCAATAAAATGCATGACAATGTAATGTCACAAATGAAACGCATATTATTTCCACTCCCTTTCTGATCGATCAAAATTTTGTAATTTCCTTAGGCACGTAAAACAACCACTAAATAGATAATAATTGTCAATGGGTAAATCATCTCTAGGTACAACACTCCAGATTTACAGGAGAAACAACTCCTAGAACAATGGTGAAGATGACACTTTCTCTCTTACAGATGTCTGCTGTGTGTAGAGGATGAAAAGCTGACCCAGTATGTATGCATGGCTATTCACAGCTGTATTCAGGGGGGAGGGCAAGATAACGATTGGTCATCACGGCTCGGGACTGACCAGGATTTCCTACAGATTGTGTGTGACATCCTCAGCGCTGTGACTGATACAGACTTGGAGTGGGGGTTCGTAGATCATTGTTTATACTGTATGAAAATGATATTAAGTATTATTTATGTCTTAGGAGAAGTGATTTATATGTTCTTAGAAAAATATAGTGTTTGGCTTCCTTTTATTTTCAGAATTTTATAAGGAAATGATTATTGATATTTTTATTTGGAAAACATGCCAGTTCATTTATTTGTTACCTAGAAGAAATGCTTGGGACACCAAATACTGTTGCTGTGATCACAAGCTTAAGATGACCAGAACACTGTTGTGGCATAATTGTCAGGTTTTGTAGCTGTAATATTGCTTTTTTGGATCCAGATTGTTTTGTTTTTATTGATGTTTTACTGTACAGAACATTCACGTTTGACAACTAAAATGTATACAAAAATTCATAGCTACTAAGTGCACATTCTTGTAATGAAACCAAAACATTTGTCAGGAACTAATATTAGCATTTCAATCATTTTCCACGAAATAAACAAAAAAAGTATTTTAACTAACTTAATAAAATTAAAATCAAGTCTGACTACCCTGCAAAATATTCTATCATCTTTTTCCCCACATGATTAACAATAACTGTGTCCTTAGCAATTAGTGAAGTAACTATTTCAGTACCACCGACAACATTAGGTGTCTACAAAGCCAGCTCTCAGGTTATCATAGCACCATCTGACGTGGATGAAACAGTTGATTTTAACAAAACCTGTTAGAGAAAGGGCAAAGAAACATGAGTTGAATAAAACAATATAACATTATGTTTAATGTGTCGCTTTTGATTCTAACCCGAAAGGATATACGTGGTGGAGGATGCCATGAGGATAAAGGGGGTTCTGGAGGTTATTGATCAACAGCAGTCAGAAAAACAAAGGCAAGTAGACAGCGATGTTAAATCGTCATATTAATTGCATTCCGGTGTTAATTACTTGAAAACGATAAGTTTGAAATGAATGTTAAAAAAATGAAGTATTTTTCGCTATATTATATGTCAAATGTTTAAGAATGCTCATTGCTACATTCATTGTGTATCTTACAATATATTCAAGGCAGTGTACAACAACTTTCTCTGAATAGGAAGGCATATTTATACAACATTGTAGGAGACCTTTTACCGTTTTAGATGCGCGCTTTTCATCCTGTCATGCCCACATGAAGCAAAAATCTGTTTGCAATCTATTTGCTAAAGATATTCAGAATATGTGCATTCGTCACCTCTATGTGTACACTTGTGTACTTTACGCTACATTCACTGCAAACAAACTACAAATAGACAATTTCTAGCAGAAGGCTCGCAAACATTACAACTCGAGTTTAAAAATCCATAGCAGAATCAAAAGAAACAACGACAAAAACCTTTAAAGTTATATGTTGTAAAATGAAGCACACATTCATCAGCCTCTCCGACCTTTTGTACGTTATTAAAGGATCCTTTCCCAAACCCCTTGTAGATTCTTCGCAATACCATTTTCAGACCTTTGCAATTCCATTTACAGACATTTGCTTTTTTATAGTGTTTGCAAATTGTTGTTTTTGCAGAGCTTTTGCTGCAGACCTTTGCAAATCAAACCTTTCGTTTGGTCTCCCAAGACGTTACAAATCAAACCCTTCATTTGGTCTCCCAAGAAGTTACTACCAGAACATATAGTTGCTGCACACATAAGCAGTTTAGGTTTTGCAAAGCATTTTCAAAATAATTAGCAAAGTGATATATTCCGTAACGAGCTAATGTTTTGTGGGAGTACCTGCTTTATCCTAACGTACTCCTTTTTCCAGGATATTTGCTCTAGAAGTACTTCTAGGCGAGCTTAGAAACATGTCAGAAACAAGGCACTTAGACTCTGACCCCAGTGGTGGGGTTAAAGCCGAGGGGCCGTGTTTGGAGACTCTCCAGTACCTCAGTAAGGAGGTGATCACTAAAGCTTATAACATCCTGATTGTGGCTAGCCAGGACACTCAGATGGACAGTACACCGGACTTGGTAAGTCTGACAACTTTCACAGTTATTGTCTTTTATGTACTGTATATGTTTTTGGTGAACCATTTTGCATACTTCGCAACAATTTGTCACCTGTGTTTGGTTTACCGTAACAGTGGCTCTAGTACTATTGTAACCAGGGCTTCAATTTCACATTTTACCGTTCATTGACAGCGGTCAACTCTCGACTACACGCTTTGGCAACGCATTTACAGTGTATGGAAAACCATTTACATTGTATGGAAAACCATTTACAGTGTATGGAAAACCATTTACAGTGTATGCCGATGGAAAACCTGCAAAATCTGAGCACTGAAAGTATAAGTAGAATACAATTATTGTCTGTGTGTGGGACATCGTGTTTGTAAATTAGTATGTTTAATTTCAAACCAGTTGTGCATCATAATCCTACTTTGAAAACGCCATATACAAATTAACAGTAATTTCTATATCAATAGTTCACACAATTTCATTCTAGGTTAGGTCATTTAATAACAACAATAAAATACAGCCAAACAAGGCTTGGTATTCTGGAGAATCGGAACTTGAATAACCGCCACCATCATTAAGTGTCCACTCACTTAAGTGTCCGGGTACACGACGTTATTATTTAACTAGTGATGGTCATTTTTGGATAAAACAGCTGTATGATGCAGTGTAATTATTTTTTGGCATACACTGTATCTATTAACTAATGTTAAAGGTACAATCACCTGTGTGTGTGTGTGTGTGTGGACGATCACTTTTCAATCATTATACATTGTACTTAAAGTTATCACACCTAAATGTATATAAATAAATCATAGCCCATCAACACTTAGTTGTATCCTTTATATACAGACATTTAACTCGTTTATTGTGAAAACCAATAAAAGGGACTGCAAGAAGTTTCCACAGTTGAGGTGTGTTCACCAGCAGGAGTTATCTTTCTTTGCCTTGTATACGTTTAGTTACGGTGTCGCCTCGGCTGCTGTTGTTGTCCTCTTTTAACTAAACTAAATTCTTTGTTTTGTATGCAATCTCTACCCTTATTCATGTTTTAGTCAATATGCAAAATGAAGCTACTGAAAAAACAGTGTGAACAAAAGCGTAATGCGAACTCGGCCGATGAATGATTTACTAGAAATAGGAATTAAGGAAATCCCTGTTTAAAATCCAGTGTGTCAATGCAGAAAGCCAATCAAAGAACACACTTTACAGTACCATTTAGGACCCATCGGTGATACTAGTGGTAAAACGAATGGAAATCCAGGTCTGTAGTATTCCGAAACGCGTGTAGAAATGCACCTAAAAGAGGAATCATAAAAGATTTTCATGGAAACCATTGAAAAATTGCAAGCATAAGGCCAAAATCCCGCTTTGTAAATCTAGATCAAATCCAAGAAATGTTACGTATTGAAAGTGAAAACCAGGGTAGTGCCAAAGAAACCACAACACAGTTACGGGCATAATTATTAAAGTACATCAAACGTCCTACGGCACAAGGGTTTGGCTTTATTTTTTCATCGTCCTATCAAAAGCTGAGGTCATTTATGGACGTGCCTCCATGTGTGTTGTGTATGCGTGCATGTTTGTTTGTGTCCTGGAGACAGGGTATGTTAGTGTAATTGCCTGCTTGTGATAGCGCGGATCTGATGCCGACTTTATAGTGCTATCTCACTGAAATACCATACCTAAAAAGCATGGGTACACACAACACTTCTTTCCGGTTACATTATACGGCACAGCTATGCTCTTGCAATAAAAATAATTTCTTTTGAAAAGTACAACTCAAAGAGGAGACTGCTGCGCTTTCTGTCGGTTTTAATGCTTTGAATACCCCTTAACGTCTGTTTACTACAATAAAAACCTATTTGTAACATACCAAGGTTTCTGATTGGCAGAACTTAATTGCTCCATTGTAATGTGTGACTCGTATCCGAAGACATCAATTTGCCACCAAGAGATCTTGTTTAATCCCTCTGTCAAAACTGTAATCAGTTGTACGTGATTATCTGGCGGGTCCCGGCGACCTATTGCAATGCTTCTTCCGTCGTGCGTAAATAATAACATAATAATATTTGAGGAAAAAAAAGTTAGACCCGAAAATTGGTTTACTATATATAACTTTGATCAACAAGAATCAGATTAATACTATTACAGACCCAATAAAAATGTGACAAATACATATTAATAATGAGCGAGTGATTATATTATAGAGGTGCATTAATAAGAAAAAAATATTTTATTATTTACTTAAATTATATTTGATTTCCTCTAATTTGGACAGAACGTATTCTTAAATATAAAGGAAAATAATTATCTTTGCATAATGTTCATTTTAGAACTGTATGAATGAACTTAAGAAGCCCCTCCCTGATGTAATTAGCACCAGTGACAAGAGCATATACACAAATTAGTCCACTTGCTTTTGAGATTAAAGAAGTCACTTTTGCAATTTCTTGTAATGATATTAACATAATCAAATGAATCGGAAAGATAGTTAATTTACGATATATCAATTACACAGTTAATGATGAGAAACACAATATGTCTGTTAGATGAAGCGAGAAACGTGTTTATTTCATTGACACGTCGACCTTCTTCTCCTTTACCTTGCGCGTAATTATTGCAGCATTTCCATTAATAGAAATATTTGACCTTCAAACGGTTCCATGATTTACCGTTGTCTCTTTGTTCGATAATGCAAACAACAAATTGGATATGGGCGTGTGGCTCTTGTCGCTGAATAGTATGATGTATTAGGCGATCATTATAAACATGTGCAGTGATGATATAGACATGTAAAAGGGGCCCTGAAAACTGCGTCTGACGTTTGTGACAATAATTGCAATATTATATATCATACGTGTAAAATGAAAGATCAGCACTTGAGCGCTACTCTTGAGGCCGGGACACCTGTTGAGGACAGATGTGACGGTAATTGATCGATATACGTATATACAGAGGTAATAGGTATTTCCTAGTGCTGTGTGGCATTCGTGTTCGGCTATTAGTATATTAGTGTAGGGTGGAGCTGCCTTAGACACAAATGGCTCAATTAAGTTACATTCACGTCGAGTACCCAATTACACACTTATCTCTTGTCAATGGCCACCCTGGCATCCCAAGGGTACTCCGTAGAGCATTACACAAATAGTTTGTTGACAGGTCGTTTTGAGGTGTTTCTTCTTCCAATTGAACACTATTTTCATATTTGTCCGCTGATTTTAGCGACTTAACTGCGACATTTTGAAAATATAATAAAATTGGGATATATTTAATGCTTGTTATATGAATGTTTGATCCGTTTTTTCCCCTCAAATTTCATTAGCAGAATAAAAAGTATATATAATAGTATAATAATAATCACCGTATCTGTCTCACTGTCTGTCCGTCTACACTTTTGGTTTCATGAGGTATGCTCAGTAGCTACAGTAATACATTTCGTTTTGGATTTAAGCAGGCATATCAACATCATAAGTGTAGCATGCCCCCACTGCATGATCGTAAGAGGCGACTAAATTTGGAATCTTATCTTTTCGTCTTCTTTCTAAACAACTTTTTTCTTCCTTATGTCTCCCTTGAAAATGCCTCACTTTTGGCCTCTAGTTGAGCGTTCGCTCCTGTGAGGAAGGCTTTGTGTTCTGTCCCCTGGCCGAGACATACCAGAGTCTGTACAAATGGTAGTTTCTACTCCTGCTTAACGCTCAGCAATTTAGGAGTGGGACGACTGGTTCACCCGTTGTCAGTATAATGTGACCGGTTGGGGTGTGCTTCGGCAGTATGTTTTAGTGAGGTAGTACTATAAAGTCGGCATCAGTTCCGTGCTATCACAAGGAGAAAAACCCGAACATATCGCAGCCTCCCAAAACACACACGCATACACTACACGCATGCATCTTGCACTCAGGGAAGGCCGTCCTTAAATGACCATAGCTGTTGATAGGACGTTAAACAATACTAAACCAAACCAAAAGTGTAGCAGGTATATCAATAACTTTTGTCTGCAGCAGACATATCAACGCGTTAGGGCTGTAGCAGGCCTATACACAGTTGTAGAAGCTATTTAAACAAACATCGCGGATGTAGCTGTCATATCAATAGCATAAGTCAAGAGGGTCTTTTACAATAAAAGTGTATGTTTGTTCTGTGTATACTTAATTTGATAAATGATTATTACTTTATTTGTAGCAACCGGAAGTGACAGTAAAGCAAATAGAGGCCTTAGGTGAGGCAACGTCTAACCATTCAGTCTATGGGGCTCTCCAGGATGACGCTGATCTTCTTACATCTTCTGTTTGTAAGTACTAATCATACAGTGAACGGTGCTCCAGGAGGAGGTTGGTCTTCTCAATTCTTTTGTATGTAAGTACTAACCACACAGGATACGGGGCGCTACAGGAGGACGTGGTCGATCTCCTCATAATTTCTGTATGTAAGAACTAACCATACAGTGTACGGGGCTATCCAAGAGGACGTCGATCTCCTCACAATTCCTGTATGCAAGTTTTCACCATACAGTGTACGGGGCTCTTCAAGAGGACGTTGGTCTCCTCACAATTCCTGTAAGTAAGTTCTAACCATACAGTGTACGGGACTCTTCAAGAGGACGTTGGTGTCCTCACAGTTCCCGTATGCAAGTGATAACCATACAGTGTACGGGGCTCTCCAGGAGGACGTCGATCTCCTCACAACTCCTGTATGTAAGAACTAACCATTTAGTGTACGGGGCTCTCCAGGAGGACGTCGAACTCCTCACAACTCCTGTATGCAAGTTTTAACCATACAGTGTACGGGGCTCTCCAGGAGGACGTCGATCTCCTCACAACTCCTGTAAGTAAGAACAAACCATTTAGTGTACGAGGCTCTCCAGAAGGACGTCGATCTCCTCACAACTCCTGTATGTAAGAACAAACCATTTAGTGTACGGGGCTCTCCAGAAGGACGTCGAACTCCACACAACTTCTGTATGTAAGAACTAACCATACCGTGTACGGGGCTCTCCAGGAGGACGTCGATCTCCTCACAATTCCTGTAATTACCCCCATCTCGAAATGATTCAGTGTACTTCTCACATATCTGTATACGTGTCTTTCACCAGCACTGAGCCTTCTGTAAGCGTAGGCATCCAAATAGTGTTAGTTCGTCGTACTTTACTGCTTTCTGGAACGATAGAAAGATAGATAAAATGTTGTCTACCCATCGACGCTGTTCGTGTACAGCTAAATACTCACTGCAAATAATTCAATTTTCAGATAAACTATTGTGTTTTTTAAGGATGGTTTGTGGTATGCCAGTTATATTTTACCGTTTTTAGTTATTAAGACTTTCTAATAACAATAAAGCTTTAGATTTAACCATTTCGCAAGTATTCCAAACATTGTCGTGAATTGGTGATTAAACAGGCGATTTACTTATAATATAGGCAACTTTGTATATGAAATAGGCTATTAGCAGAATGCGTTACCTTAGATCGGAACATCGTTTTGATTAACAGATCTCCTGGAAGCCATTCACAAATTGGGAAAAGACAGCACCAATGACTTCAGTAGCGTGGTAAAGTTAAACTCGGACGAAGTGGACACTGACCATCCCGTGTTTGGCTTGAGAAAGGACCTTATCAGACTCATCGGTAACATGTGTTTCCGGCACAAACCAAACCAGGAACGGGTACGATTGCAATTTCATTGTTTATAATCTTACATCTTCGTGTGTCAAACCTCTCCCCAATACATCATTGGCTAAGTTAACGCTTTCAGGTGATACTTATCTCTTTCCTCTCGTTTGTTTGGTTCAGACCTACCTACGATTTATATATAAAATGATCGCGGTACCCTTTTCCAGTCGATGTACTTCGACCAAATGTATTATCTTTATACCTTAGCAAGTCGTAATGCCAATACATGTACCTCGTCTTTATTGCCCAGTTGGCAAACTAAAAATACGACTAAGCTTCTTATTTTAATTCGTATAGCTTTCATATTCATTATTATTTTGCCATTACAAACTGAATTATTTTTCAATTGGCATTGTTTTAGCTTATTTGAGGTTTTTCTGATGTCGTATTTTCTCTGGCCCCGCGCTACATCCGTATTCTTAGTTGTCTACACTACATTTTTTACCGTATTCTCAGTAGTCCCGACCTCAATCTGATTAAAATCATATGTTACATGGCTTCGTTAACTTCGTACTACGCCTGCACATCTGAGTGTGCCGCGGTCAGGGTCACGTTCAGGTGACCTTTATATTTATAAATACTCCTTAAATTTTGACCAATCAGAGACCCTCTATCAAAAGGGCGCTCGGAGTTGTAACAAATATGTCGGACATTGATGAGAATGATGCGAAAGTTCTGAAGTTATTTGAGATTGATCGTCTGAAACCCGAATAGAAAAAGATATTCGAAGCTTTATTAGAGAAGAAAGACTGTATGGCGGTGTTGCCTACGCAATTATTACCCAATGGGTACGTTTCCCTTGGCGTCGTAGAAACGTCAGTTCCCGCCGCCATATTTGTTTTTGAAAACTAATCTGTTCTATACCCCTCGCTATTTATCTATCAACCATGATATTCCGATTCGCTGGCAAACGTTTGCCAGCGCGCCTCTGATTGGTTCATCTAAAGGTCATTTGAACGTGACCCTGACCGCGGCACATTCAGATGTTCAGGCGGAGCCATGTAACAGATGATTTTAATCAGATTGTCCCGACCTATGCCCTTTACTTTCTTCTTAGTTGTCAACGCTAAATCCTTTACTGTACTCTCAGTGGTCCCGTGCCATATCATTTACCATATTATCACTGGCCCTAGCAATATCCTTTACCTTATTCTTAGTTGTCCACGCTATATATTTACTGTACTCTTAGTTGTCCCACACTATATCCATTACCGCATACTCGCTGGTTGCACCCCCTCCCCTTACAGTAAACAGCCTCTCCTACATCCCACTGCCTTCATGTAGGGTTTGATCACCTAACCACTCTACCATTTCTAACGAAAGCGAAAGTCCTTTTTCAAGCGCAGCTTACATTGTATTGGCGGAAAATACGACAAGCAGCTTAGCAATTATAAAACAAATGTGCAAAAACAGACTCAAGAACGTGAAATTCCTCCTTACAAATGTAGCTTAGAAGAGCTTAATGTAAGCTGAGCATTTGACGCCAATATTCGTATACTGCGTGTGTAATTTCCGACGTGACAAACGAAGAGCGCTCAAAGTGCAGGAGCAGGCTCACAAGGATAACTAACTGGTGAGAACAGTTGGAATGCAAGATGATAATACCTGTGCCATATTTAGCGAAAATATCACAAATGCTTACCACCTTTCCACACATACCGCAATATACCATTTCCATACGTCAGCTGGACATTTTATCTCTCTACCTGCTCCTAATAGCTCAGACCTATAGCTTTACCAAAGTTCCACTGGTCCCGCCGAACATCTCTCACCATACTCCAACACCTATTTGCCTTACCCATTTAGCCCGTCTTTGCACACATACCCTTCTACTATACTCTCATTTCCCAGCCTTCATCTATAGCACTATTTTTCTGACCCCATCCCTTACCTCAACCCAATGAACCCGCCAAAGGGATATAGAGCGGGCAGGTCGCGACTTGGAAACCTCACCTGTTCCCAAGTATTTCCCCAAATATCTCGTTCCTCCCAACACCTTTAAAACGACAATGTGATCAAACCAAGAGAATGATGAGAGTAGGACTGAAACCCAAACACAGATATCAAAGGGGAGAGTACATCAGGGGGCGGGGAGTGTGACGGAGCGGTAAAGGTGGAGTATTACATAATTACCAGTTGTCGATTGAAGCTTTGGCTGTCGGTAACAATATATCCGGAGTCTATCAGCCTAGTGCACAATGGCTTTGATGTCTCTTCGGGTTTTATAAATGCTCAATGTGACAACAAGACTGATCAGACTAATAACACGTCTTTTGTTAATCCGTGTTATATTCAATAAGTCTGATTTATTTACTCCATACTATATATTTTATTGTTGACGGAATTGAGGACAGATTTACAGTTGTATAATTCTTGATAGCATTCAGTGAGAATTAAACATATTTTTCTGTACCCATTAAAAGGTAATGATCTTTGTTCTGGAACCTTCAACATTAAACGTAAAGTAAGGTGCAAGGTTAGGATGAGTTTTTGTATTGTTAAGCCTGGCATAAGAAACGATGTTCGAATTGAATACATGCATTGTTGAACTAAAAGATCCAATGCTCGAATGCATCTGCATTGTTGAATATGTTAAGTAAGAATGGACAATGGATATTGTTCGCCCTGATTGAATTTTTGCATATGATAAGTACTAGGTTCGTAGGCTAGTGATATTTGTTGAATTACTAACACTAATCAGAATGAGAATACAAGTGTCCCTATTTTTATCACTCTAATCCATATTAATTAACGTATTATTGGGTTATACGTTTTATTTCATTCAACATGTGTTTTTAACCCTTTCACCCCTATGTAACTTTAGTAGACTCTACCATGCATTGCTATGGAAGAGTCCATTATGATCTACAGTAGTGAAAGGGTTAATTTGTAAAGCTGTTGGGTAATTTTGTGAAAACATCATCGTAGCTTTCTTTAAGTATTTATCTCTAACGTTGGCATATGCATTGACCTGCTGTATTCCACTGCATGTTTGTAAGAGGCAACATATTTGCCCCCTCGGCAGGATCGGGTTTTTTCCTCGGTTTATTTTACTAAGAGGATGTTGTACAGGCCCATATTTAAGTGTGTTGGCGGTGTGTTTTACCTGACTGTAGTTAAGTATCGTTTATTTCATCTTTACGTTTAAAATTAACAGAAATATCACATGGTAACATAAATTTATTGTGTTTTAGGTTTCTTAGTGATTAAAACCGTAACATAAGCTGACATTTGTTTATCAATGTGAATGCCGCCCCGTGTATTTTCGCTCTTTCGTCTTTGTTCCTAAGGGTCCTCGATTCGCCGATCCACACCGCTTTTGCGTATTAAGGTTGAGACGGCGGGCTTGTCTTCTCCTCTATGTGAACACTGTTGACACTAGATAACAAAGCGCACTTTCTCTTCACAGGCTGCGAACCTCAACGCCTTACCTTTAATATTGGACCAAACCAACATTGACAAGAAAAATCCATGTATCCTTTTTTTTCTTACTGTTTACACAAAAGGGGGATTTAATCGAAATCTTTGTTTTGTTGTGGCAATAATTTCCACAAGAGGACAATCCAGGATATTGTATCGATGGTATACAGACTCGTAAATTGAATTCGTCTGAGTCTGTCTCCACAGTGGTCTTTAATTTGCGCATAGGTGTCATATTAAAAGATACCAAGCAAGTGGGCGATTGCTTTTCATCTTTTTGGCTCGTCGTACAAAGCAGGCCATTTTATGTAATTGAACATTACCGGGAAGAACTAGTTTCAAATGGTGTAGACAAACAAATTCGTCACCTGGTCACGTTGTGTAGTTGTGAATCCTTTTACGAAGCGGCGCGATCTCTGTTAGGCGTGAAATGTGTACACTTTCGTACTGTTTTCTGAGCTCTAATCAAACTGTGCTTCCTAATAATAAGTACGCTTAGATTAAGAAACACACGGTAAACGTTCAGATTAAAGTGATATCACTTACACGTTAATCAATGTTTCTAAAAGTTTATGTTTTTTAAATAATATTCCATTTTTGCAATCATCTTTTTACAGGCAATAGTCAGATTTGTAGAATACTAGTCTTTACATTTGTCAATTTGTTTTACCCTAACCTAGTAAGATATTACGCAGTGGGCAATTCTGGCTGTGCGGAACATTTGCGAAGATTCTCCTAAGAACAGGGCGGTACTTGCCGGTCTGAAAAAGCAGGGACTTGCCGACAACTCTGCTGTACTCCGGGAGCTAGGCATGGATGCGGAAGTCAGGGATGACAAAATCTACGTAACTCCGCCAAATAAGGAACAGTAAAGAGAGGGGCAAACATGTTCGTACACCGGATGGAAATCTGCCAACGGTACTTCTGGACGAAACTTGTATGGGAGGGTGATATCCTACACCATGCAGACGAGGAATGCCGTAAAAGAATCACTAGAAATATGGAGAAGGCATAATCTATTTTAAAACCGTAGACCGTTATGTATGTTGATGAAGAGAACCAAACAAACTAAGTTTTACTGTACAATATGGTCGGTTTGTCAATTTAGGACTCATCGGGGGAGTTAAGGTTTATAGAAAGGAAATTCATATTGAAAGTTTCATGAAGCATTTGTAAAAATATATGGTAATGGGAAAGATGCATATGCAATCCTTCAAAACGTTAAAAATGTTCAAATTTGTTTGCTAAAACAGAAACATTAATCGTCAATTAGTATTTTACAACAGGAGGAGAGATGGAAACGTTTTCTAGATGAATGAAGCCCTTTCTTGTCCTGGTCAGCGTAGAAGGAAATGAAAGAACCGGTGTGTTACTGAAGTACTTCTCTTAGGAAGTAACGTACATGTATGTGGATGTTATTGTAATATTTTGGTATCGAAGGTCGTCATTAAATATTTATTTGTACATATCATATATTTTCCTTTTTTTTTTAGATAGAGGATTGTCCTCGGGAATTAGCTTAATTGATTATCTTCGGGAATTATCTTAATCGATTATCTTCGGAAATTATCTCAATCGAATATCCTCAGAAAGAAATAGCTCAATCGATTATCTTTTGGAATTATCTTAATCGATTATCTTCAGGAATTATCTCAATCGAATATCCTTGGAAGAAATAAGCTCATTCGATGATCTTCGGAAATTATCTCAATCGATTATTCTCGGGAATTATCTCAATTGACTTTAATCGAAAATGATTTCAATCAATTATCCTCGAAAATTTACCAATTCAGTCGTGTTCAAGCAATCGCTAAATCAAGATCTCGAATACGCTCGATAACTATTTAAATCGATGATTATATTAATGGATAATCACCAAGAAATATCTTAATAGACGTCCCTCAGAATTATCTTAATCAAATTTACTCAGGAATTATTTGAATCCTCGAGTATTTCTGAAAAAGAAATAGATACATTTAGATTTTTTTTAAATAAAAATGTTTTTCCGTGTATGACGTTTTAATGCGATGTTCAATTTTAAATTAATGATTATCAGTTAAGAGGAATGCGCGACTGCCTGATGTAGTATTTATGTAATAACTCCGTCAATGGTACGGCCCATTTAGACATTCATACGTGTTTACGTGTATCTATATATAAACAAAAGCAGCTATTCATCAGTGTCAATACTCAATTACAATAAACCACAGAAACTTCATTCATTTGCCAATATAGTTTTACACACATTCTTAGCAAGCTGGATCATTACAATTCCTTTAAATTTAAGTCATATTCTAAATAGGTTATTTGGTCCAAATTGTTACATCAATAAACAAGAGCGTATTTCCGATTCCTTTTATGTGATCCATCATAGAAATCCTACCAATCCCGTGACCACCGTCTTCTCCAGGTCAGCTCCCATGCACGCATGCTTCCCGGGGCGATAGCGTAGACAATGAATGCTCCCCGCGGCGATAGGGATATAAAATTTAATCTGTGATTAATTGTACATTATTGGAATTTCATTTTACAATTTTGCATAATTGACCTATCCTTTATTGCTATTAATTACTAAAAATCAAGATGATTAATTCAATTTTTTTAAATGCATTAGAGTTCAAAATGATGCAGCAGTTTTGTGTTCTGACGTTTTGTCAGTTGCCTGCATTATACATCGTGTTCGTGGAACTTTCTTCTGAAAGGTTCTGAAAGTAAAGCCGATAAAACTATTCTTTCAACAAACAAATATTAAATATCATCGCCTTAACATAAAACATAGCACATATTATATAAATCAGTGTCCAGTACTGTACAATAACAGCAACGAACAGGTATAAGATACCGTTACACAAAAGAACAAGCATAAAATATCGTTACATCACCCACAAATTGTAAAGAATACTAAAACAATAGCAAACAAATATAAAATAGCACAGCATCAAACACCGAAGCTTTACATTAATCTAAAGAATAGCAAACATAGTGTTTAAATACGAATATATGTTGTTGTATTTAACGTGATAAAGGAGATCTAAGACCGTTCCGTCCTCACTCTCAATGATCAAAACAATGTCGGTATATTTTATCGAAGATTAAAAATAATTTATTTTACCTTTGCCTTTTTTTTTATATATAGCTTGCAACATCGTTCATAGGGAAAGATAGGATAAATACGAGATTGACATGATTTTATGTTAAAAAATTATCGCATTGTCTTTCAACAATTAGAAGTCAATTGGTACAGTTTACATGAGCAGAACCTCGCCTTTCGAACTACACCTTTGATAAAACTGAATACAACTGCAGCATTTGTACCTATAAAGGAACCACCTTTGATAAAACTAAAACATTTTCTAGATACATCTTACTATGAAATAGTCACCGGATTACGTGAATCCAAACTTTATTGTAAAGTATTCTGATAAAGCATCCAAACTTTATTGTAAAGTATTCTGATAAAGCATCCAAACTTTATTGTAAAGTATTCTGATAAAGCATCCAAACTTCATTATGAGATTACTCTGATAAAGTATACCAACTGTAAATATAAGAGAATATTTTGTCCTTGTACAATGTATGTTGACGCTGTGACATATTTTGTCCTTGTACAATGTATGTTGACGCTGTGACATATTTTGTCCTTCTGTGTTGCCTCTGTAGTATTTTTTAATATTGAGTATTCTATAGAATATTTTGTCGTTGTATGATGACGATGTGGTGTGTTCCCTTGCAGCAAAGTAGAAAATGATATAGCTGGTTTTATCTCTCTCTCTCTTTTGATTGAATTAAAAAGGACGATGTACTACATTCACAGAGTAAATACACTTAGACGGTACTTATCGTATTAAACTTGTCTGCCAAACCTAACCAGGCCTTAAGACAAATACCTATCGCATATTTCTATGACATGGTGATAAATATAGATTGATGGCTTAGCTTGTTGTGGAATATATTATCTTTTGTGATGAACGAAGCAATTAGCCAGGCGTTTATAGACTGTATATGTGTGTATGATGAAAGTTTGTATTACCAAGCGATTTCTTTTACACAATACGTATACATGTACACCATTAACACGACGTCACTACATCACCAACACAGTCGTATAGGACCATAGCGTTAATACGTACAAATAACTACAGTTTGACATAGAGTTATAATCACAGCTATATAGAAATATACATTGTATTGACCCAAAACGAATATAGTCGGTATTTGCCGTGTTCTCCGCATATAACGTGTTACTTTACTTACTGATGCTTTCGTGATATTTCACAGTAACGTGGATATGCGAATTCAATACAATGAAACTTTGAGTAACAACACGTAACATAAAACACGTAAAGCCACACGGAACAAACAACCTCACAAAACAATACACTTGTACATAACAAACAACCTCATAATGATAAACTTGTACATAACAATCAACCTCATAATGATAAACTTGTACATAACAATCAACCTCATAATGATAAACTTGTTCATAACAAACAACCTCATAATTATAACTTGTGCATAACAAACAACCTCATAATTATGACTTGTACATAACAAACAACCACAGATAATAACTTGTACATAACAAACAACATCATAATTATAAGCTTGTACATAGCAAACAACCTCATAATTATAAATTTGTACATAGCAAACAACCTCAGAATTATAAACTTTTACATAACAAACAACCTCAGAATTATAAACTTTTACATAACAAACAACCTCAGATTATAACTTGTACATAGCAAACAACCTCAGAATTATAAGCTTGTACATTACAAACAACCTCATAATTATAAATTTGTACATAGCAAACAACCTCATAATTATATACTTGCACATAACAAACAACCTCCTAATTATAAACTTGTGCATGACAAACAACCTCAGAATTATAAGCTTGTACATTACAAACAACCTCATAATTATAAATTTGTACATAGCAAACAACCTCATAATTATAAATTTGTACATAGCAAACAACCTCATAATTATAACTTTTACAATACAAACAACCTCAGAATTATAAGCTTGTACATTACAAACAACCTCATAATTATAAATTTGTACATAGCAAACAACCTCATAATTATATACTTCAAACAACCTCATAATTATGACTTGTACATAACAAACAACCCCATAATGATAAACTTGTACATAACAAACAACCTAATAATTATAATTTGTACCTAACAAACAACCTCATAATTATAAATTTGTACATAGCAAACAACCTCATAATTATAAACTTGTACGTAACAAACTCAAAATGATTAACTGTACATAACAAACAACCTCAGATTATAACTTGTACATAGCAAACAACCTCAGAATTATAAATTTGTACATAACAAACAACCTCCTAATTATAAACTTGTGCATGACAAACAACCTCAGAATTATAAATTCGTACATAACAAACAACCCCATAATGATAAACTTGTACATAACAATCAACCTCATAATGATAAACTTGTACATAACAATCAACCTCATAATGATAAACTTGAACATAACAAACAACCTCATAATGATAAACTTGTTCATAACAAACAACCTCATAATGATAACCTTGTACATAACAAACAACCTAATAATTATAATTTGTACCTAACAAACAACCTCATAATTATAACTTTTACAATACAAACAACCTCAGAATTATAAGCTTGTGCATAACAAACAACCTCATAATGATAAACTTGTTCATAACAAACAACCTCATAATTATAACTTGTATGATGAAAGTTTGTATTACCAAGCGATTTCTTTTACACAATAAGTATACATGTACACCATTAACACGACGTCACTACATCACCAACACAGTCGTATAGGACCATAGCGTTAATACGTACAAATAACTACAGTTTGACATAGAGTTATAATCACAGCTATTTTGAAATATACATTGTATTGACCCAAAACGAATATAGTCGGTATTTGCCGTGTTCTCCGCATATAACGTGATACTTTACTTACTGATGCTTTCGTGATATTTCACAGTAACGTGGATATGTGAATTCAATACAATGAAACTTTGAGTAACAAAACGTAACATAAAACACGTAAAGCCACACGGAACAAGCAACCTCACAAAACAATACACTTGTACATAACTAACAACCTCATAATGATAAACTTGTTCATAACAAACAACCTCATAATTATAACTCGTGCATAACAAACAACCTCAGAATTATAAGCTTGTACATAACAAACAACCTCAGATTATAACTTGTACATAAAAAACAACCTCATAATTATAATTTGTACCTAACAAACAACCTCATAATTATATACTTCAAACAACCTCATAATTATGAATTGTACCTAACAAACAACCTCATAATTATATACTTCAAACAACCTCATAATTATGAATTGTACCTAACAAACAACCTCAGAATTATAAGCTTGTACATTACAAACAACCTCATAATTATAAATTTGTACATAGCAAACAACCTCATAATTATAAATTTGTACATAACAAACAACCTCCTAATTATAAGCTTGTACATAGCAAAC